TCGTCAACGAGACCACCGTGGCCTTCATCCTCCTGCCATCGCTCATCTACATCTTCTCCAAGTACATCCTGCCCCAGCGTCTGCGCATGTTCGCTGCCCGTCTCTTCATCAGCAAGTTGTAAGCGAGGGATTGGAAGGACTAGAAAGAGCGGATGACACTGTATAAGTAGTGGGAATATGCTCATAGACAATCGAATGGCATTGCACGAAGATGGTGGTGATTCGTGGAGTGATGACTATAGGGCGTTCTCCGATGTTTAACCGACGCCTCAGGCCCGCTCATGATATTACAAGGGAGGACGCAACAACTGGAGAAGTTGCAGGTAGGGGCCAGTATATTCAGAGCGACAACCCCGCATTGATGACCGGTAGCCGTGTTTATCAAACCAGTGAAGGACGAACATGTGGGGCATCTCTTCAACTTATCAAGCTCAAGCCTTCGGACTTTCGTAATCCTCAGACAGTCAACCTGCACGACCTACCCCCACGACAACAGCATCCTATGACCAGTTCCCGAACGGCATTTCGAAAGCGCGCTTCGTCGGCACACAACCTTGAATCAACCTGCCAAGTTCTGATGCGTACCCAGCTACTTCTAGGAAGGTCCCCTTTCAATTTGACGAGATTTGCCATTGCAGAAGCTGGATATCGATATGAGATGTGTAAGTACCCACAACCACCTGGAGTATCTGCCTCGTCTTTGCGTAGACTCAATTCTGAATCTTGCCTTCCTTCTTATCACCATGGCACTCAAACACTGTCCGCACTCTTCACCTTCCCATTCCTTCCTCACACTGCCTGATGTGAAATACCGATCAACAACATGCGCAGCAACTGCGGTCGTGATAGCGCGGCTGAAGAGGCTGTCTCGGATCACCTGCTTACATACCTCTTGGCAAGTCCGACATAAGACCGTGACAACGGACAGATCTGACAGATCTGGCATACGCATGCATTCTTCCGTCCTTTTGCATGCTGTTTCTTTACCTACTACAACGCTTCCAGCACATAAGGGCCTATTTCGACGAAGTGCTTCATTTCATATGCAAGTGATCTGCTCCGAAGCACACATGCAGGTACCCATAGTGTCGCAAGCACCCAAGACCGGGAAGACCCCGCGGCGCAAACATCGGGACATTACGCATCGTGGTGTATGGTGTACGTAGTATAAAGTGAGGCAGTGTAGCTTAGCTTCAGGTTATATACGATACTTTGTGTCCCGAACACTGCATCCAGTCCACCCACCATGAAGTCCACCATCATCACTGCCCTCCTGGGCTTTGCTTCTCTTGCGGTTTCTGCACCTGCACAACTTGTCGAACGTCAGGGAACCCTCGAGCAGGTCACAGATAGCTATATGTTCGACATTTCCATCGCGGAGTTCATCGCCAACCGTAACGGAAAGGTCGGCCCTCCAGAACTGAACTGGGACAGCAATGGATGCACTGCTAGTCCGGATAATCCGTTTGGATTCGACTGTACGTTCTCTTTCCTCCCATACTGAATCCTCCATCATACGTCCACTATCCATGTCCCTTTCACACTTCTCTGCGTGCCGAGTCCACCATACTGACAATTGCAGTCATCAACTCCTGCTACCGTCACGACTTCGGCTACCGCAACTACAAACAACAAGGCCGTTTCGACGCGATGAAGGCGCGTACCGATAGTAACTTCAAGACGGACATGTTCAACCAGTGTGCGACTGAGAAGGCCAAGGGACCGTGTGAGGCGACTGCTACGTTGTACTATGAGGCTGTTAAGGCGTTTGGAAAGAGAGAAGAAGAGATGATGGAGTAGACAAAGGACGCGTGATGAAATCGAATGTCATAGTGTCATGTTAAAGAGTCACGAGAGTACCCAAAACGATAATCAACAATCTCGGTGGTAATCGATAAGCCACCCTCGGCGCCTTCCCACTCCAGCGCCAATCCCAGCACCCCCATGAACCTTCCAATCAACAACGTCATGCCCTCAGGGTCCAAAACAATAGCTCAACCGCCCATCTAATCTTCCGTACCTCCATCTGACATTTCCACAACATTCCATCATGCATCACTCTGTTGACTCTAACCTTTGCCCACTTACCCAAACCCGTTACTGCCCGCGACACCGACCGAGGTCATCCGAAGTCGCAGACCCTGTGATGCATGCGCGTGGGCTCGCTCTTGGCGCCCGACAATATGGCCGACCATGAGCACCAGGTATACGAGCTCACTGCAGCTTCGTTTGCCTCTGCAACGGAACACGACACGATGCCGCCGGATGAGCTGGAGGAGACATGCGCTGTGGATGCGCGGTTGCATAAGAGGACGTTGAGGAAACTGGACTGTTTACTATTGCCGTTTCTGGCGCTGCTGTTCCTGTTTAATGCGCTGGATAAGTCGAATGTACGTATACGCGGACTTTGGCAATGGGAAGGTTTGCTAATGAGGAACAGATCGGAAATGCAGAGTCTGCGCATTTTACGGCGGATATCGGACTGGATAAGGGTGCGTTGAATACGGCTGTTGCGCTGTTCTTCGCTTTCTTCGTTGCGCTGCAGCCGCTTGGAGCGGCGCTGGGGAGGAGATATGGCATGGTGCTTTGGGTGCCGAGTTGTATGCTTCTTTGGGGTGTCTGCACGGCGCTGCATGCGTGGGTGAGGCATAGGTGGCAGCTGTATACGCTGCGCATTCTCATCGGGTGCCTTGAAGGTATGTCGCACATGTTAGCTGGGTCTGGCTCTTCCACTCGCTCTTTCCTCATTCAACCGTCGCTTCCTTTCCAGACTTCGAGCTAACATTCTCTCTAGCTGGCTTCTATCCAGTCACCGTCACCTACCTCTCCCTCTTTTACACGCGCTTCGAATTTGGCAGACGGCTCTCCTTCTTCTACGGTCAGGCGGCAGTCGGTGGTGCGCTTGGGGGCCTAATAAGCTATCTCGTCTTTTCGCATTTCGGCAATGACGACGGAGGCTCGGATAAAGATTGGAAACCGTGGCAGGTGCTCTTCCTACTGGAGGGCACTCTCACTATCGTGGTGGCATTCATCGGATACTTCTGGCTACCACACAGCGTGGAGACGGCATGGTTCCTCACACCTGAAGAGCGTCGATATGCGTCTTCGCGTGTGGTGAGAGACAGAGACATACAGAACGCGCCGGCAGCAGTCCAAGAAGATGATCGAGAAGCGGAAGAAACTTACGATGAGGAGTCGCGCGGTCTTCTCGACTCATCCAAGCACTCGATCACCTCAGCCACGCCGTCGCGACAGCTGGTCGACGATCGTGGTCTAAGCCCTCACGACGTCCTTTCATCAGTGTTCAACACGAAGATATGGCACATCCTCGCCTGTAACGTTCTATCTGCCATCCCAGTCTATGCCTTCTCCGTTTTCCTCCCGCTTGTACTGGCACCGTTGACGAAGAAGGCGAATCCTGCGCTCATCAACTTGCTCACTGCACCACCACACATCTGCGGAGCCATAGTACTGTATTTCGCAGCTAGCTACAGCGACAAACATCGCATACGCCTCAAGCCTATACTGCTTGGCCTATTCATTATGGTAGCCGGCTTGGTAATCGTGGTGCTGTTGCCATCCTCATGGGCAATACCCCGCTACATCGCTCTCAACATCCTCCTCTCGGGTACCTATGTCGCATCTCCCCTCACAGTGGCCTGGATTTCTGGCAACACGCCGTCACCTGGCAAGCGCGCATTGCTCCTCGGTATCAACGGTTGGGGCAACCTCGCTGGAGTCATCTCAGCAATTTTGTTTCGCCCAAAGTACGCTGCGGGTGGCTACATTGTCCCGTTCTGGTGGACACTTGCATCTGTCGCGTTAGCTGCTCTGGGTTACGTGCTTTTCCTTCGACGCTTAAAGGCTGAGAACAAAACGCGACAAGACATGTTACGCAAATGGAGCGAAGACGACGTCGAGGCCGAAAGGCTTCATGGCAGGGGTCCGGTACCGCAGCAACAACGGTGGCTTAGACAAGCCATCAACGTGATGCGGCCGCATGCGAAACTTGCATGGCTAGCGGATTGGCTCGAGAAGGCTGCGCGGTCTGGCAGGGAGGGCGACGATAGGCTTACATTCGTCTACGGATTATGAGATATGATCTGCTGTGCGACACTACAAAGCATAATCCTATGCAGCATCTGAGTTGGCATCATCCCTTGGACGAATGTGAAATTCGGGACATGCATGTCTGTCAGCTTTCAGGTTTTGAGCGGGACGTTGGGCTGTCGAGATGCTGTACAGCCTCAGCCTTGCGACGTCACAACCGCCACCTTTTTGCCAGCTGAAAAGCGGTTGACCGATAGCAAACCAAACCGATTCACTTCCAACTTCCCTAATCTCACCACGGCCTTCGACCAACACAAGATAGAAGACGCTCCGAGTCCTACATCAAGCAAACAGAGAAGATCTCATACATCGTATCGCGGGCGCGCAGCTTGTACTCAGTCTTGGACAAGGCGGCAGACGAGATGGCGAACACAACTATGCCCAATGGCACACAATACCACACCTGGAAGCCAGAGCCTTTGGTTCGCGGCACGTTTTCCATCCTGTCGTCGTCTCTTTTGACGATGATTCTGTGTGTTTGGACAGCCGTTCACTTGAATATCCCTGAACCTGGAGGCGCCAACGCACAGATGTGGCGGAAAACAGGCTGGATGATTATAGCACTCTTTGCTCCAGAATGGGTGAGTCTCATCACTCTGCCACACGGTCGGCCAACGTTGACTCAATTTAAGGTCGTCTTTACTGCCTACTGCGAGCATGCAGAGGCAAGGCACATAGGGAAAACTATGAGAAAGGCTTTTGGTCAGCCAGAGCCTCCAGGTTTCATCAAGAAGCGATGGGAAAACTTGAACTACATGTTCCAAAGCCTTTCTAGAGCTAAAACAAGCATCTCTCAAGAACCAAGGCAGGCTACTGAAGACAGAGATGTGGAACCCGAATCCAGGTTTCGGAGGCACCCTTGGACACAAGCGCACTCCATGTACGCCACCATGGGCGGCTTCGTTGTCGATACTCGGAGTCTGGATCAGAAGTATCTTCCCAAGGGACGGCAGAGGATGACATTGACACCAGAAGGCCTCAAATTCATCGCCGAGCACACCCCTGATCTCGTCCCGGATCTACCCGAATCTGCGATAATAGACAAGAGCAAGGCGAATGCGTTCACGAAGCTCGTGACATGCGGACAAGCGCTATGGTATAGCTTGCAGTGTGTTACTCGGTCAACCCAGGGCCTGACTATCTCGTTACTAGAGATCAACACCACCGTACACACCGTATGCGCCTTGACCATGTACTTTTTCTTCTGGTGGCACAAGCCACTAGACGTTGATGAGCCCACTGAACTCACGAACGTTGACACTCACCCAGTGATTGCGTTCCTAGTCATTCACGATATGATTCCGCAAGCTCGTCTGTCTCCAATGGATATGGGGGACGATGATAGTCCTGGCCTAGTACCCGACTCTGGAAGGGAGATCCACCATCCAAACCCAAACCACACACCGCTCAGAGCATCGAAGGACCCCCAATTTCCGACACCAGAGTATGCTATTTACCATGGTTTCGCTATCCCCACGACTAGATCAGGCTCAGATTCTGTTGGGCTGGATTTCGCTAAGATAAATTCACGACGCTTCATTCTAGCCTCACAAGTTGCCAGGAAGTACGGACCATACACCGAAACTCTAGGCTGTGTGACTCACAATACGAAAAAGACCAGCTACTTGGCTGTACATATACACAATCGGCCCAGTCAAAATGCGGAGAGTTCCGAGCTTCTTTCACTTATGTGGTTGCCTCTTGCTGGTCTCTTCTATGGCGGTGTACATCTTCTTGTTTGGAACCGCTCTTTTCGCAAGGAGACAGATGAACTCCTCTGGAAAATCAGCAGCCTGACAATTGTGTCGTCAGGCATGGCGCTTGTAATTGCGGCTTGTCTTGCATTGCTCTACGAAGAGTATCCTAAGTTGCATCCAGCTGGAGGGTTGGTGGAAGACTCTTTGCAAGTGGTTTTCGCCATATCCATTGTATGTTATTTGTTGTTTTATATCTTCTGTAGGATCTTCATCATCGTTGAGTGTTTCCTAGACGTCTTTCACCTCCCGGAATCAGCTTTCGAAGTCCCGAGGTGGGCACAGTACTTTCCGCATTTCGGGTGATTTATCACATTTGACGTACAAATGGGCAACATATATCTACTTCCAGATCGGAAGATCTTCAAATTTGCCATACATCCATATACATTATCTGTCTTTGCCGAAGACGTATTGCAGTCTAAACAATGTCTCTCATCAACGTCGAAGAACCTGTGGCGCAGCCCGGGAGCATATTCTCTACTCAAGCGTATTTGACCAGGATGTTTCGCATAGTCGGCGATGTTGCGCGAGCGGTATGTGCGATTCCCATGGTGTTCAGCGCCCGACGTTGCATGCCCGCGTAACAACCTTGGCCTCAACGTTACGCGCGGGCACCCGTCCTGCAGCCCTCCAACGTCTACACTCTCTCAAACCCTCTTTCGGTGCCTTTCTCGACATCTCTTTTGCTACTCGGCAGCAGCAGCGCTCTACACCTGAGCGGTATAGTCCGGCTAGCCGGCAGTTTCACACTCCTCCTCGCAACGCGCAAAATCGCATTCGACGAAACCAAGACTACGGTACCGCTTGCACTCAGACAAAGCTCTCCTCGGTCTTCACGCTCAACTCGTTCACGACCGTCATGCAAAGATGCGCCTGGAAGCGCCTGAACCTGCATGTCACAGACCCGTCGCCTAAATCAGCCGTTTAACCGCAGGTTCTTCTACGTTTTACATATTTCCAAGGTCCCGAGGTCCCCAAGGCCGCATGTTTGAGAAGGCAGCAAGTGTTTCAAGTGCAAGGCAGCGCTTCGGTTTCGCTTGTCGACTCGGGTTTGACGGCACGCTTGTGGTTGGGTAGTGTGGCGTTGGGGTGAGATGGGTTGTAAGACGATTTTTGTCACCACCACCACGGTGTAAGGCTATGACAGAAGCGGATTATAAGTATACTGTATCTCTCGAGACTAGGAACAACAGCACACCGGTTCCATCTCGGCCATACTCCCTACACACAAGAATCATTGTTTTGCCCGCTTGCGATCCCTCGGTTTGCCAGACCCGCCAGGGCCCGACCACCCGGCCAAAGGTTTGAGATGTGCATGATCGACTGCCTGCGACTTGCCTCAGGATCACCGTCCCTGGATACCTTTTATGGAAAGAGCGAAATAGGTATCAATGCTATGTACTCAGAAGCAGAAGCCTCTCACAGCAGTATAAAGCAAGCATCTACGCCGACCCATAGTTTGCTTCTCAAGCCAGTCTTCCAATTCACATCTACATTTACTTTATTCACTACCCGCTGTGCGGATCAATTCAATTTCACTCATCCATCACCAACTTCGAATAATCAACTCTTAATACCCCGAAGCCAAACCAACAAACTTCACTACTTCGAAAAACCAACCGCCAAAATGCAGTTCTCCATCACAGCCCTCCTCTTCGGCCTCGTCGCCGTCTCCTCCGCCGCCATCGCCGACGTCGAAAACGTCCGCAACACCCCCCGCAGCGTGCTTGAGAACAGGCAGGCTGCCAACGGCGCATGCTGTATCCCCGAGCAGTCTCTCAAGCAGGATGCTTGCACTGTTAACGGTGCGGCTGGAAAGTGTGTGCCTGGAGGACCTGCTGCTTGTACGTATATCCGAGACCCTAATACCCTAAGACCCAGACGAGTTCTTTTTCGAGAGAGGGTGTATGAGAGAGAGAGACATATACTGACGCAAACAACAGGCAACGGCGCACTCAACTGCGTAGCAAACGACCAACTCGTGTGCGACAACAACGTCCAGGAGCGTTCTGGCAACTTGTGCCGTTTCCAGGCTGCCAACGGCAAGATTCAGGATGGTGCTCAGCAGATTAACAGTTTGGCTCAGGCTAAGGTTAACTAAGAGAGTGAATGATGGGGGTTGTGTGAAGGGTTGATGGGTGAATCTTTATAGCTAGGTGGATAGATAAATGTATTTGTGGATTGTATAAGTGACTTAAGTGACTGGAAGTTTGGAGGGATGTGGTAGAGAGTGAGATGTTGATCTACATGAATCGCAGCGTGCTAATGTAGAGTTGTACGTCTGATCTCTGTTGGGGCACACAACCTGTTTAGTATCTTGGGTATTTCTAGTGTTCCGGTGTACATATATGTGTATCTGGAGTCAGTCCAGAGATTTGCGCTTCACAAGTCCCAGAGCACATCTCATTATAAGCAGATACCTGTCTTCCAATGCGAACCTGTTTTCTCTTACAATTGGTCGATTACTCGAGCTGAGAGGTATTGATCAATGCATGTATTCGTGTATCATACCGTCGTATATCCCCATCTGCCCTATACGTTATAATTTATATCATGACCCGCGTATATTTTCATCTACCCTCTGAGCCCTACAATCCAACATCATATCACATCGATCTTACCGTCCCCACCCCGCAAACCTTCCAATCTCCTTGACCTCCCTCCTGCCCACAACACCCGCCGCAACCGCACAAACGGCACCAACACCGACAAGCAGTGCGCGCGCCAAGTTCAAACTAGCCCACTTGTCCATCAATTCCTTGACTGTCTCGCCTTCCTTGGCAAACTGCTCGACGTGCTTGTCGCGCAGGGAGGCGTTGGCGAGCTCGTCTTTCTTCGCCATGAGCTTGTTGTTTGTGGGGCCGAGGACGAGGATCGTGAAGGGGACGATGGAGGGAAGGAGGAGGGTGGCGAGGGCATTTAGGCGGAAGGGGGTGGAGGTGCGGTCTTCTGTTGGGTTGTTAGTGTGTGGTAACTTGAGCTATGGATGGATCGTAGGTGAATGGAATGGGGCCTGGGGGATCGGAAGGGAGATGAGATGGGACGAAACGTACGGTGATAAGCCAAATACCCCGTAGCCAGCGCCGAGATGGCAGCCAGAGGACGTGCAATTGCGCCGCCACGTGTGAAGATTGTGTACCATTGCTTTACGGCGAGGGGTGCGGGGGCCTGCATGGCGGCGGGGATGCCGACGACGGAGAGGGAGACGTTGGAGCCTGGTATACTTGTCAGTATCAATCCTCTTAACGGTATATCTTCCCGTTGACCGCGATTGAGTTGGTCATTGGACGCCAGAGTGTCTTACCAACCAGGAATACACTGCCTGTAATGCCCACCGCCTGCGCGATTGCCAGCGCCGTGGGCGTCTTTTGCGTGAGGATATCCATTGCGTATGTGTAGATGAAGATGAAGATGCTTCGATTGAGGTAGTTGAACCAAAGTATTTGACTTGTCAAAGCGGTGGCCTGACTAACAGAATGAAGGTCGTGGTCGGCGTGATAGCTCGGAGACGCGCTGCAGGGCTTGGCCGTCAGGCTTCCCAGGTTCCCCGCGGATCCCGATCGCGTCGACTGAAGCTCCGCACTCCGATGCTTGCCATAGGTCAACCATGTAGCTCCGACTTCTTGCTTTTGCTGTCGACATCATCACGGGGGGCTGGATGTGGCTTCTTTGTTGCACAAATCTTAATGTAGTTATATTCCTATTCCTAATTGTTGTGCCTGGGTGAGACGCGTCGCTTATCGCCGTGAAACTGTAGAAGCATCATCAACTCGCGCTCGACGTACATAAGCTTAGCTTCTCTCAAGCTTCTCGCCGATAATTTTGCTTTTGATCTTCGAAACCTACCATACTTACTATAATCTACTCGTGCTCAATCGACAATAGGACTTACATAGAACAACATCCGCGCCGCAACCTGTGCCTCATCGCAACCCTCACCACCATCTAATCAGCTAACAAACCAGTCTACCAGCCATGTTTTGTACGTCCCTCACCCCTACTCAATATACCCTGCCTAACAACCCCCAGCTCTAAACACAACCGCAACTCTCCACCACGTAACGCACCTCCCCCGCTCCGTCTCCTTCGCGACAGCCGTCTCCCACCTCCACAACCACGTCCTCCTCATCCGCCTCGACCCCGAATACGCCTCGCACGAAGACCTGCCCAGCGACCCCTCCACCCCAGACGCAAAATGCTACCGCATAACGGACCACATGAACGCGCTCCCCGCCGGTCTCTGGGACACAACCGTCAAGTTCGACGCCCACATGACTGATCTCGACGACGGCGTATTATGGACGATCAAGGCGCCGCTGGGCCTTACACAGCAGACTACGTGGCGGTGTTTGAAGACGGAGGGATTGAGTGAGGGGGATAGAGAGGGTGCTGAGGGGTGCGAGTGGAGTCTTGTGGAGGATGTGGAGATTAGGGCGAATAGGATGTTGGTGGGGACGGTCAAGGCGAAGTGTGAGGAGAATTGGCCGGGGGCGCATGGCAAGTTTTTGAAGTATTGTACGGGGGAGACGGCGGCATAGTGGGATATGGATGGGAGGGGGTTTCTATTCGGGTCTACAACATGCTGGAGTATCGTGACTTGGCCCTGGGGGATGAACATCGTTGAGTACAGCGCAAATCTGCATCACTAGATTTGCACCAGTTCTAGATGCGAACACTATCCCAGGTCTTTACGTTAAAATCTTCACGCTAAGATCAACGAACTCTTGTTGTCAAACCTAATGGACAGACAGCTACAACATGCTTGGTGCAATCCTTACCCGCCTCTCAGGAAACATGGAGAAGCCCGGCTGAATGGTCCATGTGCCGTCGGGCCCAAGGACGTATTTTGCCTGGCGTCTGGGGCGAAAAGTTCCAAGGCGGAGCCTCTGCATCTAGAAGGCATCCAGATTGGCGGAATTTGTACCAGTGGCGGGTCGTGGATGTCGGCTAGACGCAAAAAGGCTGCTGCTGGTTGACCCTGCATAACACCAACTGCAGGTTGGAGACCTGACCCTGAATGCCGATGCCTTTCTCTTCATATCTTGAATCTGAAGCAAACGTCCATCTCGCAAGATGAGTGAGATGCCTGCAATCTAAGGCTCTTATCAGCTCACGCGACACTGTTCCAACGGTCAAGCGATCAATGTCTCTCTTCGGAGGTGCGCTGGTGACATCGGAGGCCGCACGTGGCGCGCCCCCAATCGGGCCTTCCGGATCTACGCGATAGCAACGATAAGACATTGGACAACAGCAACTCGCTGCACATGAAAGAGCTGCACGTCGCTGCTGTTGGCATCCTTCGCGTCACTTGGTCGCACACCATAAGCATCGCACCCAGATGCCCTCAAGTGATGCCCGCTCGCCTTGTCAGCCAACGGCCAAGACCCCTTCTTGAACCGAAAGGTTATTGATCGGCCTCTGGCTCGCCGCATAACACGGGCCATATCCCCGCCTTTCTAGACTGCACTGAACTGCGCGTTCCGCCATCCGCTCAGCTATCAAAAACCGCGCACCCAACCACCGGGTCAACGTCAGCTCCTCTTACGTTCGTTCCCTTTCGCTGGTACGGGACTGTTCCCACCTTCTCATCCTGCCATCTTGCTCCAGTAGACGTGACGATATCCTCCCTCGGTCTTCGACTTCTTTGATCCTCTACATTCCCCGCCCCGTCCCGCTTATCGCCGAGCACGCGTACCGCACAGCCACGCTTCACCATGGAGCCTTTGTCCATCGACTCGGTGGTTGTCGACCACAGCGAAATGCGTCCCGCGCCAGGAACCCCGCCATCAGACGCCATCATGATTGAGCAGCCAAAGCTCAAGGGCAGACAGCGCCTTCTCATGGGCTTACAACGGATGGGCTCGTCCTCGAGTCTGGCGAACTTGGGTAGACCCCGCTCTCACAGTCTGAGAAGCGGTGGAAAGGCATCCATGTCTTGCGTCTCCCTCGCATCGCCTGGCTCGCCGTACGGGAACTCGTTTGGCAGCTCCTACTCCTCCGAACTGTCGAATGGCTTCTCTACAGCTCCTACCTCCGTCGCCAACAGCCCACCTGGCACGCCCTTCTGGGACGAAAGGACTCGTCTGCGGATGAAAACACCAGATATTCCATCCTCGGTGCCTCTTCCCTCCGCCCGACGACCATACACTCGAGACGGCATTGAAGCCGAAAACGATTACTTCTCGCGACCCGTTCACAAGGTCCAGAAACGGGCAAACTTCAACTTCTGGAGTGATATGCCCACGGAGATTCGCATGCAGATCCTGAGATACCTCGAGCCAAAGGAGGTTGTGCGTTGTTCGCGCGTCTCCAAGTCATGGCATACAATGTGCTTTGATGGTCAACTGTGGAGCGATCTCGACACGAGCAAGTTCTACCGCGACATCTCTGCCAACGCTTTGGTCAACATCATCACATCGGCAGGACCGTTCGTGAAAGATCTGAATCTCAGAGGCTGTGTGCAGCTGAGAGAACACTGGGGCAAGGATGGCTTCATTGAGTCCTGTCAGAACCTGGAGAACTTCTCGCTCCAGGGCTGCCGAATCGACCGGACATCTATTCACTGCTTCTTGCTCCAGAACAGTCGCCTTGTCCATGTCAACCTCTCGGGTCTTGCGGGAGCGACGAACGCCGCTATGAAAATCCTTGCTGCACATTGCCCGAAAGTCGAAGTCTTGAACATTTCATGGTGCAACAACATCGACAACCGAGGACTGAAGAAGGTTGTTGAGGGATGCACGAAGCTGCGCGATCTCAGGGCAGGTGAGGTGCGAGGTTGGGACGATGTCGAGCTGATGGTCGCACTTTTCAAGCGCAATACTCTTGAAAGGCTCGACCTGAAGAACTGTGACAGTCTCAACGACGAAGCACTGGATGCTTTGATTGAGGGCGTGGACGAGGAGGTCGATGTCCTTACCGATCGCCCAATCGTCCCACCGAGGAATCTCAAGCACCTGAACCTTACGCGCTGCCGCAGCATCACGGATGCTGGCCTGAAGACATTGGTACACAACGTCCCGTATCTAGAAGGTCTTCAGGTATCAAAATGTGGTGGCTTGACCGACGATGCCTTGACCAGCTTACTCCCCACCGTTCCCGTTCTCACCCATCTAGACATCGAAGAAATCGACAACCTAACAAACGACGTCCTAAAGACTCTATCCGAGTCCGCCTGCGCCCCCCACCTCCGCCACCTCTGCATCTCGTACTGCGAAAACCTCGGCGACGTCGGCATGCTCCCCGTCCTAAAAGCCTGCACCAGTCTCGCCTCCCTCGAAATGGACAACACACGCATCTCCGACCTCGTCCTCGCCGAAGCCGCCTCCGGCCTGCGCAACCGCAACCGCCTTGCCCGCGGCCTCACAAGCTCCGAACGCCCCGAAGTAGGCCTCCGCATCGAAGCCTACGACTGCGCAAACGTAACCTGGACCGGCGTCCGCGAAGTCCTATCAAGGAACGCAGAGATCACAAGACCGAATTCACGGTCCGCGAGTAAAGTCGCGACCTACCCAAGTGAAATCATCAAGTTGAAGTGCTTCCACAATTGGCAGCCGACTGTTGAGGAGCATACTAAACGTGTTCTGAGGGGTGACTTTGCGGCTGCGGCGAGGCTGGAGAGGAAGTGGGCGGATTGGATGATGTTGAATGAGGAGGCGGGGGTTGGTGGGGCGGGTGCGAGACGCAGGAGGAGAAGGGCGAGAGAGGCGCAGATGATGCATGCGGATGAGGAGGAGGCTGGGGCTGGGGCTACGGGTGGGGGCGGGAGGAGACGCCGCGCAAGAAGTGGCCCTGGCGGGTGTGCTGTTATGTGATTGTGGTTTGATGGGGTTGGGTGGGTTTTGGTGTTGAGTGCATCTCCACCGCAGGCTTGTGGCGTTTTCTTTTGAGATGGTAGTTGGCCCCAGGTTTGTGGGCTGATGCTGTGGTCGCGGGTTATGTTATGAGTATGATGAACATGTGTCTATGATTTTGTTTTACGAGCGTGAACATTAGATCTCAACGAAGTTTTGGCCTGGGATGTTTGGAGTCCGGGGCTCGTCACGATTTTGTGTCTATAGATGAGCATGTGCTGCATACAATACGGAGCTCCAACATATCTTCATACTTGTTCAATACATCGATTTCCATGCGATCATGTCGCACCCCAATGGGTTGTGTAATGCAGAGAGCAGCTCCCGCACGTGAGCGCGCGACTAGCTCGAACTGGCGGAGGCGCGTTCAAGGTTGTTTGCTAGGTAGCTGCATTACATCATTTTTCGACCCATGTCCATCCCACAAACATCATCATCTCCCCACGAGCTAGCAAGGTTGCCGGCTGCCATTGAAAATCACATTGGTATCGAGTAATAATCATGTGCTCTTTGCCCCTAGATGACAGAACGGGTCTGGAGGCTTTTCGCATTGCGGGTCTACCGCCGGACTTCTACTATATCCCGAACTTCATAAGTCACGAGGAGGAAGCGTCAATACTGCAGAAGGTATGTGTTCTTCCCAACTCCCATCTTAGTCTACAGATTGGGATATTGCTTCGCACATGGGACGTTTACTTACCCCGCCTTACTCCATGCGTTGCATTCAATCTCCACACCCTCAAACTATACCTTTCCCCAACCCCCCTGCAAGTTGACTAACATACCCTCTTTCATATAGATCCCCGCCCAAAGATGGACACACCTCACCCACCGCCGCCTCCAAGCCCTTCCCTCAACACTCACATCCAACAACACGCTCCTCGCCGCCCCTCTACCTACTTACCTGACCACACCCATTCTACCCCGCTTCAAGGACTTGGGTATCTTTGATCACACGCCTCACGGCCAACCCAATCACGTTCTTGTCAATGAGTATAAGCCCGGTGAGGGCATTATGCCGCATGAAGACGGTGGGGCGTATGCCGAGGTCGTTGCGACGGTTAGTCTGGGAGGGGGTTTGTGTCTGGATGTGCTTCCCAAACCCTCAAACCCAGAAGAAGAAGGAGATAGGCAGGGTAAGAAAGATGACGAAGACGAAGAACCCTCCCAACCCCCGGCCGCAGACAGAGAAGAGAGTCAAGAACCCCCACTCCCCCTCCCAACCCGCATCTTCCAAGAACCCCGCTCCCTACTCATCACCACGGGGCGCGCATACAGAGACCTCATGCACGGTATCGCATCAATTGAAACTGATGAAGATTTAAACGCCGAGACGGTGGCGAATTGGGAGTTGTTGAGTGAGGAAGGGAGGAAAGGGGTTGAGGAGAACAGAGGGAGGAATGTGAGGGGGACGAGGGTGAGTTTGACGTATAGGGATGTGATTAAGGTTAGCAAGGCGGCGAGCAGGGTTTTGGGTGGGATGGGTAGGCGGTAGGGGGTAGGATGGAGGATGGATGGGGAGGGAAGGAGAGGAGGGGGAGATGGTGTGGGGATAGATGGAGGTTTGAACGTGTTCATGATCTTCTCTGACAACAAAGGAAATGTCAACTACACTTATATACATCTTCTCTTGCGTTCCTCAACACTTCCCAGCTTACAACGCCTTGCCCTAGATCCTCACTCACCCACTTTACTGCTGACCCTTAGCCGGCCTATAATGCCCCGCCAACTCCACATCCTCGGTACTCCTATCGCTCTCCCTGCGCTCCTCCTGCACCTTATCCGTCCTCTGCGCGTTCTTCGCCCTAACCGCCTTCTTCCTCCTAGCCTCACCCACAACCATCGCCGCAACCCACACTAGCCACATAACCGCCGCAATAACACCATACGCAATGGCTCCATCGCGCGAGTTATCCGCGAGCAACAATCCCAATCCGCCGTTGATCATACCGAGGGTAATAGCAATCCTTCCAACCCAGATATGCGCGTAGGAAGTAAGAGTACGACGCTGCGTCTTCTTGAAGAGGATGTGATGTAGTGTTCCGAGGAAAGGCATGAAGAAGACGAGGCAGAAAACGAGGATACCGATGATGGCGTGGTAGCTACTGATGTAGTGACCTCCGCTAATGGGAAGTGCGAGCCAGATTCCCATGCCAAATGCCGCGATGTATACCATGTACGCCAAGATCTGGAACCCAGCGTGCAGCCAGACGATGCCAGGGAAAGACGCCAGGCGGATAGCGATGGCGCCTGAGGGGAAGAGGATGACGAAGGCGAGGGAGGCGAGGACGCCGTGTGCGATTAGCATGGTGCGTTTCTTGGAGGGGCTGACGGAGGCGCCTGAGCTGATGGTTTGCACGGAGTTTCCGCCTGTGGCGCCGCCGTTGGGGAGAGTGTCGCAGTAGGGGAGGTCGTCGTCGTCGTCCTTGCCGCCCTTGTCGGGGGAAGGGGAGCGCTTGTCTCCTGGAGGGCCGTTGGGGCGCGATGTAGGACGGGAAGTTGGGCGACCGTAGTTGTCGTCATCGTCATCGTCGTCGTTGCTGCTGCTCGTCTGGCTTGGCTTCGAATTTCCTGATGCTGCGGCGCCGGACGGGCGCTGGCGGCAGTTGGTTGGTGTTGCGCCGCCTGTTGTGCCGGTTGGTGAGGTGTTGACGAGGGGGTTTACACTTGAACCGCCCTTTGCTTGAGCGAACTGCCAGTCGAAGACACCCTGGTTGGAGTGCTGGTCGATTTGCGCAGAGGTGGAGTCGTCGTTCTTGGGCCCGCCAGAGGATTGGTAGGCGAAGATCCAGCTTCCGCTGTTTCTGGTGAAGTCCATAGTACCGCCAGACCAGGAATTGCAGTTTGAGCCTGCGTCACGTGTTAGTATGTGTTGATGTCGTTGTATTCGTCAAACTTACATCTCACGTTCGCGGTCATCACACCGTTCGAAACACCAGATCCTTCAAGCAGAGTGACTTGAGCCGCATCATTGGGGCTTGGGGGCTGGTAGCTGCTAGTCGATCGCGGCGACAATGTAACATTGTTTCCAGATCCTGAAGTGTACACAACGAAGATGTTGGAGTTGGGCATGCCACTGCCTTGGCCGAGCGCAACCCACTCATAGTTGCTTGGGGCTGATATTTGGAAGAAGATGTCTCCCGATCCGGATGATGCTGTGCGCTCGGGGATGTTGAGGCCATAGCATACACCGGTAGAAGGGCAGACACTGGCTACTTGCGCTGTGGCTTGGGAGGCTAGATCGGGTTAGCACCGTGGTAAGATAAGGCTGTTGTTGGGGGCTTACCCAGAGCCAAGAGGCCCATGACCGAACTTATTGTGCGCTTCATCTCTTGTGCTCTGAAACTGAAAGGTCGTTGAATGATGCTGAACACTCGAGGTTGCCAAAGGGCTCGATGTTTAAGGCTAGTCCACAGCGCCTAGCTGAAAGCGTGGCTTGATGGCGTCGTCTCTAGAGGCGATCACGAAGCTATTGATCTGAGTTCAAGTAGCCAAACCAATAGGAGAAGATGTCTTGAGGTGAGTAAGGGATATGCAGTTCGATAGTGATTTGGCAGCAGAGGACAAAGAGGTTTATAGATGGTGGAGCCCGGATCACCCGCCTTCCAAGATACAGCTCCAAGCCCCCAAGAGAGGTGCTGACAGAAGCATGGCTACGTACACGCAACCTGGCTTAGTTTGGTGGAGGTAGGTACCTCGCAGGCACAGGTGAACCCAACGGTATTACTGCTGATGTGTGGTTGGACAAGCCTGGCCGAATGCGGCGGCTTTGCGGAGAGCCGTCAGTCACCGGCTGGGCATAGCAAAACACCGTGAGGACCTCGCGATATGACCACACAACTTGTGCAAGCAGTACGCGTCACGAACGCCAGAGGGCCGCGATAACAAGTGAGATCTCCCGCCTGTACATGGTGCAGGGTCTGGCGCAGAGAGGTGGTACCAGTGAGGGCCAGCGGACTCAACGTTCGGCGCGGCTTGGCTGGACGCGCCGTGGTGGCTATGTGCAGGGCCAAACAAGTAAGTTGCATCCGGACGAATGACACGCCAGCTATTTTGCAAAAGTAATGTCCCGGCGCGGGGCACGCTGGGAACGGCGGGCATGTCAGTTCACGTAAGGTTGGGAACAGGTGTGGTCTCGACGGTCGCGGTCTTGGTGCCCGCTCTTGTGGGCCCTCCTGTCCCGCACGGCCCTCGCCTTGGATCTCCCAACACCCAATTCCAGCGACTGCAATTCCAAGACATGTCAGCAACATGCGTCGAGATCCAGACTCCCATGACTTCATCCTCGAGCTGGGCACACTCTTACAGGAGCATGCTGTCCAGGCTGTGCTTGTTATCGTCAGCCCTCGATCACCGGCCTAGTCGGAATTCCCATCGGAGATTCGGCCTGTTTCTCATATTACGGTGTATACGCGACATTATTACCACTGCATGGAATTGCCTTCTACTTTGGGACCATCGCACTGCAGCTGCATGAAGTCCGGTCGGTTTCACGTGGCGCTGTTCATGTCTCGATAGGCGCAGGCTGGTGGCTTGCAAGCGTGGCAGCCTCAGCCCTGAGGGACCGCGTCAGCTCGGAGCGCGAAACCTTGGAATCCAGGAAGTAAAATCAACACCATCGGCGTCTCCTGGCAAGCGACACCGAGGCATCACGATGCCAAGCTAGCTGCTTTCTCTCAGCATACGTCGATGATGAGTTATCGACATCTTGTTGCGGGGGTGCTCGATCGCGAGAGCCTTCGGAGTTAAGTATGAGGGCCGATAGTGAGTTGTAGCACGAAGTCAGCACCCGCCGCCCCAATCTTTCACATCAATCGTCTCACCTCCGCGCACCTCGCCGTCTCCTCGCAGTTTGTGCTCTTGTGCACGTCTCTCTTCTCGCGTGCATTTCACGATCAGTGTGTTTTTCGATTCGGTTGTTTTCCTCTCCTTGCACCGACAAAGGCCCTTTTCCTCATCACAACAATTTTGCAGCAATCACGTGTTGTCTCTTGCACTGCCACTTCCAAGTTTCTTACTCACCCAGCCAATCAACACCCCGGCAGCGTATGTCGGTCGGGAAAGGGCCGAGCAGAAATCTGGGGTATTACCGTCCGCTAAGGAGTAACATCCGGCGGTAGCGGTAGCGAGCAATGAGCATCATACGATGCCTGCGATTCCAAATTCACATTGCTGCGCCTCAGGCTTAGAGTGTATTGGGAGTGAAGCTGCCAGAAGAAGAGCTAGGCTGACAACTAGAAGGCTGTGGTTGGTGGAAGCGCATGGTGGGTAGTTCATCTCCTCGTACATCATCAAAGTGCTGTACAGTCATGATTTTGACTTCCTTAGTCATGGTGGATATGAGGGAGGTACATCTCTATGTGTCGTTGTGGTCACCGCACATTGCTCGGCGTGACGGCGTGTCTTCATCTACGCCACGGTCGAATTTCATCAACGAGCACTCCACCTTCTCCTTCTGAACACCACGTTCGGCGATATGAGGCTTTGAGAAAGTCAGAGGCGGTGAGCAGCTCTCCTTCCGTCGAGATTCGAGCGTTATGCTTTGGCCAACTTCTCTCAGTCGTCGCATGTACCTACTTCTTCAGTTCTCACATTTTCGTCCGTGCTACAATCAGGGCTAGCGGGTACCTGTCCCTCTGGAAAAAGACCCTTTGAGTTTCGGAGGGTCTTCCGCACGTGCTATTGACTTTCACTTTGGGCTTACTAGATGGATGCCGAAAACCAAAGCCGCTCGACGGGACCGTATTATACTTGAACACCAGAGATCATTGTACGCGATACACCTGATGTGTCCAGACCAGACTTGGTAGTCTGCTATATGTTCCCCGCATTCTCGCCTTTTCTCCGAGCTGCATGTTGTACGTATATTAGCGATCATCCGGCAGCTGCATTTAGCCTTCGGTATAGTAACACCCAGTCACACCAAAGATCGCCCACATCACTAGAGACTGCCTTCTCTCCGCAGTCCTCATTTACGTCCAGAGTACCTTTGGCGTCATCTTCATATGTGTTGAGGCATGGCGTACAGTGCGATAGATGAGATGTCGCCAGGTGCACAGCATGAAGAGAACATAAGACGACCAGCTCCTTGGTCCTCACACCAAAACGTAACCGAAGCATAACCATAGCTTCGCACAGGTACCTCCACGACATTGCAACTACCACGATGTTACTCCCCACCCTCCTCTCCCTCGCCGGCCTGTTCACGACGACAGCCGCCCAGACCACCAACCCCCCAATCCGCTACATGCCCTTCGGCGACTCCATAACCGAGATAATCTGCTGGCGCTCCAAACTCTGGCAACGTCTCCAAACCACGCCCTTCAACTCCTCCACCGTCGACTTCGTCGGCAGCGGCAAAACCGAGAACAATTGCCGCGACACAACCTACGACCGCGACAACGAAGGCCACTCTGGTTTCCTCGCTATTGACATTGCGAATAAAGGGCAGTTGGATGGTTGGCTGAAAAGTAATCCTGCGGATGTGATAACGAT